TAATTTTACATCATTTACAATTTCAATTTTGATTCTTCAGCTATCTTTGTGGAATTTATTTTACTTTTTACTTTCATATAAGGTGGCACAGAATCAAGTGTTCGAGTTAATTGATTTTCTTTTTTTCTTTTTTTTTTTGAATAATCACAAATTTACTAATGAACACTGCATGTCAAATATCTAAAGCAGGAGAAGAAGAATACTTTGTAAGCAAAGAAGATTATTCAGATTTTAAAATGAGGTTGTATGGATCTCCTATTTCTGGAATTTATATAGGATCCTAATTTTGGCTAAGTTTCAGAAATCTATCAGTTGCAATCCCGACCTTGCAAACCAGAGTTAATTAAAGTCAATCAGTGATTGTTTAAATTGCCTGAAGCAGAATTACAAAACCTAAACGTGTGTTCAAAACTCAACAAGAAGTTTCTGTCTTCTAAGAACTCTGAGTGTATGACCTCATGGACATTCTAAGAAATAAATATCCTATCCTAACAGCTTGAAGAAACTTGCAGTTGCTATGCTCTCATGTCAACAAAATAAGTAATCATGCATGAAGAACAGCAGTGTTCTACTTTCTGCCCCTAGAATATTTCACTTAGAAATGTGAACTAATTGGTCAAAAGATCATGAATATTAAGCAGTTGACAAGAAGTTAACAAATGGAATTAATTACAAAAGTATAGGTTGGTTGCCAAGTAAGAAGATTTATTAGCATTGTAGCATTAAATTATCACGTGCATTGATCAGGTTTATTGCAGTGACAATCAGCTGTTCAATATTAAGCTTCCTTGGCTGATTTGCAATGAATTGCTCTCATATGCATAGTTCATACCACATGCTTTCATGAATGCACATTCTCCTACATTCTCAGATAGGGAATGTTTTGTTTCATGAAGAACACTTTCAAATACACTAGAATGACCTATTAATCCAAATGGTTTTCTTTCATGAAAGAATGGAGAATGAATTTAAAAATCTTAAATCCAAGGAGAAACTCTGTAAGTAATTGCTGTGGATACCAATCTGCAATTTTCATTATTTATTAAATGAATTTCTAGTGCCATTCTTAAACTACAAGAGTGCTCCGAAAGTAATGTCTCCTATTTTATTACATTTATTCATCAATATTTTCATCAATATTTTCCATCAATATTTTATTACGTTTTGTTGCTGGGTGACAGATGGCAACAAAGGTGCAGTCTGACAAAATGGTGTCTGACATAGAAGCACGTATGAAACAAAAATGCAGAATTGAATTCCTCCATGCAGAAAAAAATTGCACCTATTTACATTCACTGACTATTGCTGCACATTTGTGGAGGCCAAACAGTGGATGCTAGCACAGTGAAAGTTGGACTGTATAAGCAGTTTTTTCCTAGGAGTAACACCTTCATAGAAGCTGTGAAACAGTGGGCTACCTCCACTGGTACAGACTTTTATGAGCACAGCATGCAGACTCTTGCTCAATATTGACAAAAAAAAGCAGCATAGCTAATAGTGGTGGTATTAGTGTTTTATAGCTGAGAATTTGGTCTAACAAATGATGTTATTGGGTTTTTTGTATCTGTTGTATGGAAATAAATAGGAGGCATTACTTTTGGAGCAACCTGCATAACTAAGTAGTCTAGCAGTCCCTTACTACAAACCAGATCTATGAACTAAAGATGAGAGAAAATATTTTACTGGTACAAAAGGGAGATAAAAAAAGGTGTTAATTTATTATTAGTTCCATTGGGAATTCTAGCTCAATTATTATAGTAATATTTTAATATGCCTTTTCTTTCAAAAATACTAGCATTAGTACTCACTAATTCATGTTCTAGAACCTTAGAGACAAAAACTTGCAAGCTTAGTGTCTTGGTTCCACAATTAGAACTATAATGCTGCATAAAGTTTATCTCAAAGTCTATCTGAAATAGTTACTTATTTACAGTAACCTTCCCAACACAATTGTGTGTGACTAGGCAAGTATGCAATATTGTCCCTAACTTGTTCACTTATTTATTTATGTTTCAATTTCAGAATATATAGTACAATGCAAAAGAAGATTGGAATAGGAACCAATACAAATACATTGTATTATTTAGATTTATTTTGATCACAGTATTTGGCTTGGTGTGGGAGTAGAATTTCTCTAGAAAATTCCTCAGAGTAAGCATCCAAGTATGTACATCTCATAAATTTACCAATACATTTCCATACACTTAGGTGAAAACATTTTCACTGGCTCTGGCGCAAACCTAACTCATCTGAAAGCTTCAGAGTTAATTCTGCTAGTTTTTCTCTTTCTTCTCTTAATTCTTCAGGAATTTTAAGTGAGGATCACCCAAATGGGTGCTGATGGTTCATTATCCCCTGAAGCTTTCAAAGGAAATCGTTGAAAGGAAGAATGGAAAGAAAAAAAAAAAACCAACAAAGTTCTTAGGTCACTTCCAGTCATCTTGTTTTACATACTTATTAGACTTTTATCATCAGAAATTGTGGCACATTTCTTTTAAGGCATCCTTTTCACGGCAGTTGTGTGAAACAATGATCTGTTGAATTTAATTCACAGATCAAAGAGGAAGGAAATTAACCAACACAGTAAATTGATTATTTCATGGGTGACATAACCAAGGCAATGATTTATCTTAATAAAGAGCAACATCCCTCTAGTCCTTAACTGAATTCCAGCCAGTGCAATAATACTCAGTTGTTAATGACTTTGATGTTGATGTGGAAAAGTGAATGACTGTGTAATCACTGAAATGGGACCTCATCACAGTTGGAAATGTTTAAGCCAAATCATTTTGGACTGTGAAAAGAGCCCAGAGTGGTATAGATTGGCTGGGTCCCAGATTTTCAGTCTTAACTAAACAGGGCCTAAAAACTTTATCATACTGCTATGCCTCAGGCTGTTCTGTAACTCTGACAGCCCCAGAGAATCATAGTATAATGTATACGTTTGTGGACTCACTGTGGAAAAAAATTTAGGGGCTTACAGTACCAATAATAAATACCTGTCTATCAACATCCAGCTAAAAGAGTAATTAGTTAAATCCATCGTTGAGAGGGAAAGAAGAAAGGAAACAGAAGTCAAATAGGAAACATTTTACTGAAAGCTTATTTTTATATCCCACATTACTAAAAATGGCTTATGAGTGTGAAATACAGCATTAGTCACTCATAGCAGCCTCTGCCTCCCCCTCTACCATTCCCTACCAACGTTTACAATAACAAACCAGGCTAAAATTAGAGCTGCTTTATAGTATGTTAACTTAATTATCATTGTTTCAGCACTGATTGAAGAGCACACATCAAAAAGAAGGCTCCCTTGTACATCAAGTTCAGCTTCCTTGACACTGATGTTCAGCTCACAGATTAGAGAAGGAAGCCAGGTCATTCTTTTCCTCTCAGGTTTCCCTCAAAACTGATCAGCTGAAGGATTCCCAGCATTAACGTTGCTCCCTCCATCTCTTGTAACTTTATTTTTAAAAAGATAGAGGTATATTTACTGCCCTCCAAACTGCTTCTCATGTGTGCCATTAGAAATCAAGAGGAGACAAGGTAGCTAGAAGTTAATAGCCCAAACATTGCAGCTTTAGGTTTCTAACCATTCCTGAGAGGCAGCTGCAGGTATGGTTGGAGGAATTCCAAGCACTCACCCTGCTTGAATACCACACAACCCCCAGGCTCCAGAAACATGATACTCCAATTCTGATCATTAAAAAAAAAAAAAAAAAGTAAAAAACTGAAGGATTGTTAAACTGCTCATCCAGGCCTGCAGCTGGGGGTGACTCAGAGTGCAGAGCTGGAAAAATGCCCAGGTGGCAAGATTAGAAACTCATTTGTGTAGTTTATGTGGCCTTGCCAGGAGCCTCCGTTTTTTCCAAACCTCCTTCAATTTATTAACTTTAAAAGCACTCCTTTCCTGTTGGGGATCTGGCATGGCTGCAGTGAGCAGCTCTTTCTCCTTTTGCGTTAACAACACTTAAAGGCTTTCTTTCCTGTGCTTTCCTTTCTACTCGTGTGAGATCATCTGTGGAATTTTCAAATGTACTCACCCTTTCTTTACCTTTTCATTTTATTCTTTGTCCAAGGGTTCAATTTAAATCCAAGTGCTTTTAAACTAACTGTATTCAGCAAGCCAACACTATCAGGAATATATGTTATGAAAGCAGGAAAAGAAAAGGCCTTCTTGTCATCAAAACCATAATAATTATGTGTCAAATGTAATTACTGCTCTGTGGGTAATACATTTAATACTAAGTGACAAAGTAAGCTGCTTGCAGAAGTAGAAAGTAACTGGTGGCAGGATCAAATATAAGACTAAATGTGCTGCTTAAATATTCTGCCTGCTAAATTTCTACTAGGAAAATGAAAAAAAGGGAATTTTTTTTCCTCCTTTAAAATAGCTAATGTACTCAAACTTCTCAGTTCTCCCACCTTCCATACAGTGAATCACAGCTGTTTTAAAATAAGGAACACTGTGCTATAAATGTGCACATTCCTAGGATCAAACTCTGGTGAAGGAACTCATCAAACAGACAGGAATTGAGTGTGGGAGTTTTGTCCTGTTGACCCATTATGTTTCCTCATGAAGTTCATACGCACATTTGACTCACTTGATAAGAAACAAGCTTTCCATATTTCTCCGCCTTCTTTAAAATATATAAATTAATGAGCAGCTGGTAAAGCTGACACATGCCTGTGAATTTGAGGACTACTGATATGTGAAGTCATATTCTGAAGGAGGAAAAAAGTGCTATGTCAAGAACCAATATTGTAGCATGACAGCACATTCAGAAATTTGTCCATTTTGAAAAATGTCTTCTCTTCCCTAACACAGTTCCAAGCAGACTTAATAGAGTCTAACATACTAAGAAGAAGAATTCTCCTTAATTAATTCTTCTTAATAATAATTCTTCTTAAATAATTTTTTTAAATTAAAAAAAAACTTATATTTTGATAACTTAAAAAAAAACTTTAAAAAACTTATGTTTTGATAATGTGCATTCCCAATTCTGAAAATAATCTACAATATCTGTGGTTTAGAGTTATACTGTGAGTAAAATCAAATCAACTAATTGCTACCTAAATGAATGAGTGTTTACAGAGTGAACATCTTTTACTGGAGTTATAATTATATATGGGCATCTTTACTTGCAGCATCTAATGCACGGACTCAAATGTGAACGATCCCAATCGTTTATTACAAGTTCTCACATCACTTATATACAAGTTTTCTTTTTCTAGCTTTCCCATCAACCCTACAACTTTCCCATCCACCTTTACATGTCAGTAGAGCATTCTACAAAACACTCTTCAACTGTTTGTGCAGGTGTTTATCCAATCAGAGCCGTGATTTTAGAGGTGTCCTTGGTTTTCATGTTGTTTATCTTGCTCCACAGCTGCTGCTCTGAACAGTTTTTCTTGTATTCCCACATTTACTGATTTCTGTTGGACTCCACAAATGTAAAATGAAGAGTAATATGAATAAAGGATTCAATGACTGTAGATTCTAATCCTCAGTTTTAATGGTTCTGTTGGATAATGAGAATGTTATTTTCTTAGCAAGCTTCGATTTGCTCTGTATTTAAGTTTCAGGAATGGTATGTTTCAGGAAAATAAATATTTAATGAAATAGGCATAAAATTTAGTGATATTTGAAGACAAAACGATTGGAAGATTTTCAAAATAATTTTTCATTGAAATTTATCTCTTCAGTCTAAAACTTTTTTGAATTTTTAAAATTTCAAATATTCATTGAGCAAATCTAGCAGTTACTAGCAAGTAAAAGTTGCACATATAACATTAGAGTGGAAGTGTAATTATAAATATTTCACTGATCTTGTTAAACATTGTTCAGTCACAAGATTAAAATTATATTTTTATAATATATAAATTATTATATTGGGGATTGTATAAATATAAGTGATTGTATAATAATCAGTGTTTGAAGGAGATACTTCCAAATAAGATATTGCCCAGAAATAACTTGGAATAACTTGGGATGGGGAAAAAAACAAATTGTTCACTTTTCACCAGCTTTTGAAGGTTTAGCTTGAGTGATTTTTTCTTACCTCTTTTTACTTATTCTTTTTCCACATGTCAAAAACAAATGACATTTCTTTTTCTATTTTTGTATGCTTTAAAATGTTATAGTAAAATCTGTTTCTTAAATTAAGCCCAAATTTCTATCTCAGTATCAAGTGGGACAAAAAGCAGACAACTCATTAACTTGAGTTTGCATGGTGAATACATCCGATGTTCATACACCATTCGCTTTCTGAAAAAGTTTTTGGAATACATTTCACTGAAAGCCAGATTTTATATATATGCAGAAAAATATTTAACAGCATTTGCTATCAGTCCCAGAGCACAAAAAAGTTTCTCTTTAATTGTTATGATTTGAAACAACTGCATATTAGGAAAATATTTCCACTATTCAAGCTCTCCGTTCTCCTGTGTTCATTTCTAGAATGGACAATTTCATAGAATAGCTCAGGTTGGAAAGAACTGCAACCTAACCATACTACCCTAACAACCCATCACTAAATCATGTCTCTGAGCAAAGGACAAAAGATCTCACGTCTACCTCCTGTAAATAGCTAATTGGCACCAAATTTGATTTGTGAAAAGTAGGTACTAGAAGAGTTCAATATACAAGTGATCATGTCATAATGAAAAAGCAGTGGCGATGAACAAGTTATTTCCTCAACAGCAAAATTCATGTTAATTAATCAAACCTTTTGGAAATGCTTGTTACACATATTTTGAGTCTATGTTTTATCTTTTAAAGGATGCTTCCTTTAAATCAAAACTGTTTGCCTAGTTCCACAGGGCAATTTACATAATACCAGCAGTGCTGTCTATATGTATAATTGTCAGTGGTAGAGGAATACAGGCCCAAAAGCATTGTCTGACTTTCTGCTGATAAATAAGGCTGATGAAACGAATGGCTCAGAACTGCCAGGTTTGGTTACAGTTTCTGAAAAATTAAGTCAACACGAAAGAAATCATGTTTTCAAATGGTACTGCTCTCTGTAGACTGATACCCCAATTTATTAAACTCTACTTCTTGGGTCCCAGGTTCAAGCACTACTTCTGCTCATCAATCACCACTTGTTTCTTGAACTAAACAACACATCTGTACTTCTCAACTTGACTAGAATTAGCTCCCCAAAGGAAAAAAATATTTCAAATAGTTCTGACTGGTTTCTAAATTAGAACCACCTGTAACAGTTATATCTTTTCCTGGCATAAATTAGTGACAAGGAGTTCATATAAGAGGTGCAGACAGAAAATAAAATAGTGTAGTAAGTATTTCAGGTAAGAGAAAAGAATTGTCATGACTGGGTAGGTACAAGACAAGAATATGTGACCCCAGCCCATTGCTTTTCTATAACACTAGAATAGATGTTTGATACCCCTGTTGTGTTAACCAGAAAATGACTGCCTGAAGCAAGATCAAATGTCTCATTAGCACTCATAATCGCTACCATAAGTTGAAAACAGATGAAAGAATAAAGGATAATATTCCAACAGTAGAATGAAAAAAAATTGACCCTTTTTGTTCCCTTTTTGTGCTTTCTCCCTCAAATGGGGCCTCCCTCACAATTAAGTTCAATACACAAGTCATTATAAACAGAATTCTAGACAATTTCATCCCACTTTAAATAGTGTTCATAACTACAGTGGAAGATTCTTTTCTTAACTATCAATAATTATGCTAAAGCATATGATTTCTTCTTGAAAAACATTTTAATAAATATATTTATCTCTTCTCTACAAACTTGTGACAACAATTTAGCCAATCTGTCACCTCCACAAAATCTGTATATCCCATTTACAGTGAGAAAAATATCTGTCTCAGCCAAGAGAAAAATAATGTCTTGCTAGAATTCTATAAATCCACCCTGATTCTAGTTCATCAGGGAACTTATCCCTTAATTTATCTGAAGCTGTAGTCTGTGCCAGCCTATGAGAGCTTTTTTTGATGATTCATGAAGAATAATATTGATTCATGGTTTAGTTGCATAAATTTGATATACGGTTAGTTCTACCCAGGCACCCAGCACACAGAGATACCTACACGCAGTTGCTTGGCTACATGTAATGACTTCTCATGAGAAGCATTCAGCAACAAAATGCTAATAAGGATTTAAGAAGCGATGTAAAAGAGCTGGTGTGTACTCTAGTTTCCCTACATAGTACAACGTAATACAGACTGACAGATTCCATTTTTCAGGACGAACAAAGTGATTATTTGGTAGACACGTGCAAAAACACACTGGCTAGTGATACTCGGTGATGTTAACATTTTTTTTCCATACCTGTATTTTTCTTAGCTATAAAAATCAGGAAGAAAATTTTGTTCAGTACAATGGGAGTACTTACAAAAAAGTATAACGCTCAGTACTGTGCACTGCTATAAAAGAAAGGGGTTATATAAAATCAGTAATCTCTTTCCTCCTCATTTATTATGGTATACTAAAACAGTATATTTTGATAAAAGCAGATAAACTACAGAAGTGCTTTGGTTGCTGATATTACTTTATATGCACAAATACAATCATTTTATTCTACTGACTTGAATATGTAGGTGTTATATGCAGCTAACTGCAAGAAGAAATATCAGAAACTAATTTAATATTAGCATTTCTTCATGATTTCTCTGAATTCCACTAAAAAAAAAAAAAAAAAAAAAAAAAACCCAGAAAGGAAAAAAAAAAGCAATGCAGTCTTCAAATATCCACAGTAAAGTGACATGTAAGTAAAATTAAAGAATCACAATGAAAAAGTTCTATGAAATTTGAAGGGCATTTGTTGTTTTTAAGGATAATCTACCTAAGTGCAAAAAGTAGACCATATTCTTCCCATACAATTTCCTTGGTGATGTGGTATTAACATCCACGTTCTCTGCATTTGTTCTGAAGCCTATTTCTCCTCCATCAATCAATCAATCAATCAAACAAACAAATCCTTTGTAGCTGCTACAGCAGGAGTCAAATGTCTAAACAAGGAGTGGAAACCTGGAATCAAATTCCTTGGCATTTACTCAAGTGATTAATGAGCATAATGAGCTTCCAGAGGAAAAGGATAGGATCTATTGAAAAGGTCTTTATGGTCTGCTGGATTGATAATCACTTCTTGCTTTCACACTAAGAACTGAACATAAGTGGATATCATCACCAGAAATTTTAGTTTTTGGAAATCTGTAAGAAGTGATAACAGAAGTATGAGAGTGATCTCAACCAAAAAAAAAATGTCTTTGTGATATTTACTTTGATACATTTATTTTGGCTGCACCAGGGAAGTGCTTTTTTTTTTTTTTTTTTTTTTTTTTTTAATTGGACTAAATGAAGTGTTAATAATACGTGAGGTGACAGATAATACTATTGTGTGAAACATTGTATTTACTTCACTGAATATTCATAATTTAATTGCAAAAATTACACCACATTTTAAGTGGACAGTACCATTTAACAACAGCTGTGAAAAATCCCCCAAGCTGATGAATGTGCTGGAGAAGATGCACAACAGGTTCTCTAGAAGGCTGATGTTTTGCTCATTTTCCACTTTAGATGTATTGTTTCTGACTGGAACAAACTTAATGTATACTGTCAACAATGGGAAATTGTACTTTTGCTATGCTTTGTATGCTGACTTACTCAAAGTTCATGCTTTCTATTCAAACAATATGTTTGTCTTTCCAAAGACAAATATTAGACTTTTTATTCCTTTATTTTATCTAAGATAGTATAGCAAAATCCAAGTATGCAATCAGGTTCATCCCAGTCAGCAGAGATTGATGCAGAAAGGGGTGCTCTGCCCTTTGGGGTAAGCAATTCTGAGCTATTCTACATGTTGTTTGTAATAACTTTGGTTCCTGAACAATTATTAAATGAGCGAAGTTTGTGTTGTATATGCTTTTCTAACAAGGAAATTATTCTCCCACAACTAAGTCAGTTTGTAATATATTCTTTCTTCTATTTTTCTTCTTTTTCATTAATGTGTGATATTAGAAAGCAGGCAATTTATTATTTCCTTGATGAAGCAATTTCTTGGAGATTACTTTCTGCTACTAAATTATCAGTCTAACACTATGTAAATTCTGAGAAGTTCTACCACTAATCTACTTTAAGAGCGCTAGTAGTTTTCCCTTGCCTTTGCAAGGAATCCAATTTCTTCCTCAGGAAAAAAAAAAAAAAAAATCATGAGAAAAATCCCAAATTTTCTGTAAATCAAAGATTTCATCACAAACAATTTCTGGAAGACAGATTCAACTTTTGCAATTTCTATGATGCCAAATCTCCATGTAAAACATGTAGTTCAAATGAGCATTTCTTCTGTTAACCTTTCGATAAAGTAAAACATGCTTAATGGAGCTGGAGCTTTTGGGACATGAAGTCTCAGGGTACAATTATACAGATCCTGGGGAAGGAACTCACTATAGATAATAAATTAGAAAAAATATGCTTAAATCACATTAGGTTAATATAGATATGAATGCATGTATAAGTAAACAAACTTATTCATAAAATCTAAAGTAGATAATTTTTAACATGTTTTTAAAAAAGATTGTGGTGAAGAAATAGAAGAAAAATTGCAGTTAGTTTACTTAAATGGAAGCCGTATAATCTTAGAATCATGGAAAGTTTTTGGTGGGAAAGGATCCTAAAAAATCTCTAATTCTGATCCCCTGACATGAGCAGCAACACTTTTCACTAGGTCAGGTTGACCAAAACCCCATCCCATCTGACCTTGAAGGCTTACAGGGATAAGGCATCCACAAGTAGTGAGCTTGCTCTGGCTGCTGTATGAATCTTAACTCCCTCACTTCATGGTCTCTTCAGCCAAGGATACCCTTGGACTTCAGATTTGCCACAAGCCGTTCCATGTTGGTGGGAGTTCCACTGTTCTCTGTCCTCTGTCACTCAATCCTCTGTCACTGCAAGAAGGAAATTATCATCAGTTAAGTCCAGGAACCTCCTGGAGGTTCCCATATCAGACCCATATCAATAGGATTTATTTTTCCTTATTCACCTCCATTTCCTTTTACATCCTGATAAAAGGATGGCTCCAAGTCTTATAATTACCATTGTCTTCCTCTTTTGGTGCAGCTGGTTAACTGTTACCACACCTCTTAGGTCTCCATCTTAAGTTTAATTTCTCTGTTCCCTGTGTAATTAAGAGTAGCCTGTACACTTTCTTGGATGGAGTAAGGTTTATTCTCTTCCATATGGATCACAGAAACACAAATCATAGGGATTGGAAGGCACTTCTGAAGACCATCTAATCCAACTCTCCTATTAAGTTAGGTTCCCTACAGTGGATTACACAAGGAAATGTGCAGAAAGGTTTTGACTATCTCCAAAGGAAACTCCACAACCTCTCTAGGCAGCCTATTCCAGTGCTCTGTCACCCTCAAAGTTTTTCCTCATGATTTTATGGATCTTCCTATCTTCTTGTTTGTGCCCGTTACCCCTTGTCCTGTCACTAGGCACCACCAAAAAGAGCTTGGCCCCATTTTCTTGAATTTTTGAAACATGGATAAGATCCCCTCTCTCGAGTAGTTTCCTGGCTTTTATTTATTTATTTTTTTTAACTGGAAACATTACGCTATATGTGGCCTCATGAGGGCAGAATAGATGTAAATGTCTTCTTGTTACTGTAGGAATATCCTAGGCTCAGATGAATAGTAAACAACTCCATGAAATATAAAACTCTTTCCTCTCTATTTGGTATATTAATGGCATTGTTCAGTAGGAAATGTATTTTCTTCTCTTAACAGATGCAAAATATATGCATATAAATAAATCGTATAGGACATTGACACCTAAGCATCCTAGCTTCCAGCTTATTCATACTTGCAACTGAGTGCAGTTGCAGTAGCGATGGATGTCATTGTGTATTGCTGCTGGGCGGTAGCAGCAGGATTATATGTGATTACCAGTCATTTTTTAACATTTCATTTTTAACATATCGTACAAACATAAATGGAAAGACCTTGTAAAAAGCTATTTATATCTCAGGCTGCCAACTAAACAGTAGTCTTAATTAGCGCTTTTTTTTCCAACTGTCTAAAGCACTAGTTTTTCTTAAAGCAACTGCAAGATCAAACTCTTAAGTACAGTGACTAGTGCTAAACTTTAGTGATAAAGCTGTTGCTTCTCTTTCCCACAAAGTAAATTCCATCTGGAAATGGAAATGTTGATTTTACAAGACATCTTCTATTCTTCTCCAGCCCATTTATGGGAGAAAAAAATGATAGTGTAGATTACAGTTTCTACTCTCATGTCACTACTTAAAATTTCTAAAAACCTCTTTTGTACAATTCTTCAGAATAGTTATTCTATTAGCTCCCCTTTCAGCTACAATAAATGCAACTTTGATAGAGAGATTTCTGTATTCAGTAAAAGTGAATTAAAATATACGTGTTAAATTAATTGTTATTATTTGTACATACTTTTTAAAGTATGTACAATTAAAATATACGTGTTGATTATTAACTGTATTACCTTTAACAATTTTTGTAATATTTTTTCCTCCCTCCTCTTCATCTATTTAAAATCTTTTCTATGACAGGTCTGTGCATATAGAACAATCAAAACAAGACAGATGTCTATGAGGCTATGTATCTGCTTTGCCCCTTAGATCTCCCCTCCGCTGTATACAGATATACAGTGTGTTTCTAAAAGAAAAATAGCTACTGTTTTTAACTCACTACAGAACTAGCAAAATTAGATAAGAAAATAATAATTTCCTACTGTTATGGCTTTTGCTATTAAAAGACGTACTAATAACTACTAAAATTCAACACATTATGAAGCAAATTGCACAATATATTACACAGAAATACACATGCTGATACACAATCAATTTGGTTTGATTAGTCACATGACTAATGAGAAATAACTTAGGCTGGTAAAACTAGAACTTTCAGTCTCTTAGAAATCCTGAGCTATGCTAGATTCCTTAGAAAAATTTCGCATCTCTCTTCAACTGAAAAGTAATGAAAATTAATGTGATTTTTTCAAAGTAAACTGACTACATAATTATGAAAATGTTTGACACACATAAGTAATACACACCTATATCCTGCATTTGAGAAAAACATTTTTTTTCCATAGAGAGCCAATGGTCTTATCTTCATGGAGACACCATCTGAAAAAGAGAAGTACTACCTTAATGCATATTTAAAAAAAAATTAAATAAAAAAAAAATCCTGACACTAATCAGTGTGATAAAATATTACTACCTTATTCTATTCTTAGTAGAACAGTAGTATATTACATACACACAAAATTAACTTAAACAGGAAGGCTTTTTTTTTTTTTTTCAGAAAATCAGGGAAACAAGTTCAGTTTTATAAATAGCATGATCATGAAGTCATTCATAACAATGGATCTTCCTTTCAACTAAAAAAAGTTTCTAAATGTCCCTTCTAGAGTACATTTGTAAGTCCAGATAAAGTCAACATTTTTTCTAAAAGAAAAAAAATGTCCTTTGCACTTACGTTATTCATGCTGTTTCTTTTACCTGTAAAAAAAATGTAGCATGTGCATATAAAGATAAATTATAGTAAATGAAGATACACAGTGATCAACAACAAATTATTAACAACAATTGTAAGTACTGGTAAATACTACTGGGACTGCTTTTTTATGTGGTTATACGGATTTTGTGCTCTGTGTGCAATTCATTCCCTATATTCTTTAAGAAACACTTACATGGGGATACCAATTATTAAGTTTAAATAACCTTGCCCCACATAGAAACTGCAACTGGCCTCTCAAAAATAAAAGCAAAACAAGGAAGGAATAGAAGGGTTCCCTTACCCCTTGGCCGAATGAATGTGTCCCTGTGCCCTGCTTGAACTCAGAATGCAGGAAGCTGGGTTCAGCTGTCCAAGTGCCAATGTGAGACCCAGGAGAAAAGCTGCTGCTCTTGCATTGGCTTCCTGTGTGAACTTGGGCATCAGACCCCTCCCTGCCAAGGAAAAAAAAAAAAAAAAGAATAGCTCTGGTCAAAAGCCAGTTCTTGCACTGACATTAATGTAACGATGCAGGATAGTCAGACTGTATGAGGAACAGAGGGACAGGCACAGAGATTCAATTGTTTCTCTTCCTCAGTTGCCTCACACAGGTCTTAATTGCAGAGTATATCTGAAATATTCAAATACATTTTCTTTTTTAAATTAGCCAAATTAATCAAAGCAACACTGCTTTTTCTAACTCTCCTTATTGGTAGTTTCTCCAACTATCAGAGTCTGCAGGCAGAGTGCAATTGAAAATGGATTGGACGCTCAGCCAGGATCATAGTTTGCTTACTTTTGACTTAAAATATAATCAGGCTTCTTGTAATGGAGAAAAAAAAAAAAAGAGATAAAATTTTCTAACACTTTTCTTTCAGAAAATTCAGAATAATTAAGTCCTAGAGTTTAGTATTGTCACATCACTACCTAACATAACTTAGTCATTTAAACATTGTTATTAGACAATAAATGATACCACTATCACATGAACAGCTATGGCTTTAGAAATAGGTTTATTCTCAAGCACTGGCAAAGCTATATGATTAACTTACTACTTATAGGAAGTTGTTAAATATGACCCAAAAAAAAAAGTAACTAACAAAAGTTTGAAACAAATTTACTTGGGTCTGATGGAAAATATTTTCCTGGAAATATCTGATTTCTCCATTTACCTCACGATATGCCCGGAAAAAAAAAAAAAAAAAAAAAAAAAAAAAAAAAAAAAAAAAAAAAAAGGATGGAAAATGGCCATTTCAGTGACCTTGTTTCCCTCTCTTAGAGGAAGACAGCTGACAGGTAGATATATGAACAGTTTGTTATTACAGATTCCAGATATTGTGATTATCTCTGACTCAACTTCTGGGGTTTTATCTGGAATTCCTGTGAAAGGTCAAACAGCATACTTACTCCTTGTTTTTACCTCAGCGACCTCAGCTTAAAAATACACCTTACAAGAGTACACAACTGTTTCCAAAACTACTACTTGAGAGGTATAAATGATGGCAAACTCAAGAGTTAGTATGTACAAAAATATGTTTCACAAGCTCACTTGTGTAGAAGTTATCATTCTGAATTAATCCATACTTTCTTTCAGTTTTCAGTTTTATTTGATATACTGGGTACAATAAATATTTGCTTTTCATTTTCATAACTACAATAAACTATATTAGTTATACATTGTTGTGGAATATAAGGTAATACTACCAGGTGATATTTTTAAAATATAATGCAAGAATTACCTCATATCTAAGTGATGAGGATAAGTGTTCATAGGTAAATTTCTTCTATATGTTAGCCACTCTATTCACTGTAGAATAAAGTATAACTCGTATATTGTATAACATTTATAAAGTACTCTAAGTTCCTTTGAAGAAAAAAAAAAAAAAAAAGAGAAGACATTATCAAAGTCTCTCTAAATCTTGTTGTTTCTTCATCCATTATGAGGATATATTTCCTTGCTTTGCCTTCTTTCAATTCAAAATTGTACTGATATCATGTTCTTAGTTAATCACCTTTTCTGCATTAGCCCTTTATCCAAAGCTAAGTTATTCTCATCAGCAGCTACAATCAATCAATAAATAAATATGATGGTAATAATAAAATATCATGAGCTTCCTAAATATTGAGTCAAATGTAAGTATGCTTCTTTTTTGAATATATTATACTAACCTAGAATAAGATCAGCTATAGCTTCTTTATATCCACTTTCGTATCATTTGCTTCCTCCTGTACATAGCATAGAAGTGAGGAGCACAGTTTGGGGAGGGCAGGTTACACAACAAAGCAGCAACGGCAAAGAAGTCAAGGTCCTAGCACCCTAAATTGGTGCTTTTCTTCACTGTTTCCTGTTTTCTCAACTGCAAAGTGTTATCCAAACACGTGAACATATTTGTTTTCCTCCCCCCATTTTTTCCACATGACAGTGCATTGTATTCTCTACAGAAAAATAAATTTAAAAAGCAGAAATGGACTTAATTTTTTTATAGTTATATTAATTCCTTAATATTAAGTTGCTTGATTCAGAAGAATGTTGGTAACCAGTATGATGCTATTTTAATTACTTTCTCTTCCCCTGCAAACTGATAGATTCTAATCCAAACTGCTTACAGAAAATTCATTGCTAGATGCCATGTGAAGTTCACTGTAGTGAATACGGCTCTGGAATATAGAATTCTGGATTACAAGTTTTTTCCTTCTGGCACCATATTTCACTGAAGAAGTTAAAGAGCTATAATGTCATGGATGCTGACATAAGTGTAAAAACAAAAAAGAAAAATTAGCCTCTGAAACAAGTTATCTGACATTTAATGGTGAACCTATGGTATGAAAGGTTAAAGATGTTAAGATCATTGTGATAATGGAAGACTAGAAAACAAAAAAATAGCCTATGAGCTACAGCTTTTAAACATATAGAAAAATAAATCTCCACCTTGAAAGGTTTAATCTCTAACCCCTTTGCATCTAGCAAGAGGAGATGCTTATTGTTGGACGTTTTGAGTCTCTACTCAGATGTTCAATAAGCCAGTGTGCTAGTATACTAAGGCTGATTCAGAAGTATTTAATCAGTGCCTAAATAAAATTTACTGTTCAACGTAAGGATGGCTGATTCTCTTGGAATATTAGTAATTTCGTTTAAACTTATAAGTTTGTTACATCTGTGCGAAGAAACATTTCTGCCTATTCTTATTTCATTATTATGAAATTCTTATAACATTCTTATGATTTCCCATACCAATGATATAACTGTATTTCATCCTATGCAATGGAACAACTGTTGATTAATTTACATTTTATGCACAATGATCTTAGATACAATGGCCAAAATATCACAAATTATTTTTTATCACAGTTACATCATATTTCTTTCAATTATTTCATATTAATATAAATCAGTATTCTTTTAATTATGAAAAATTATGAACCATATGAACTACAAAGGAAAATAGAGCAATTACCAGGAAAATTTAGACTGACTAAATGAAAGAAAATAAGACACTATATAAATACTGATAATACAACATCTTAGCCTGAGTTACTGTTCTTCACTCATAAAATCTTTTCTGCAGTTTTGTTTCTTCATACAAAAACACCTAAAAATCTGTTTATGGAAGAAATAACCCACCGGGCATTATAAAAGCCAACTTTTTTCAAAAAAATTTCTACAAAGTACATATTTGCATATGTGCATGTTTTCAGGTGAAATAGCATTACAGCTTCTGAATAATAATAATAAAAAAATGTAACAATCTTTACCCAAAACAAGGCTTTCACTTAGGTTGAAATATAAGCACAAGATGATAGGTCACATGCATGAAGCACATGCTTTAAAAAGGAAAAAAAAAAAAAGAAAAAAGAAAAAGAAAACATAAGTACAAATGTAGCTTAAAAAATAGGGTGTTTTCTTGTAATAAATTGTGTTTTCATAGTATCAAAATGCCTCATTGATCTGGAGAGCATGTTGCTACAGACAATATGCAGGTGAAGTAAGAAGCAGGCATATCTTATGCTTTGCTAAGGCAGACGATACAGAAAGAACTACATGGCGCTAAGCATGACAGCAAGGAAGTAACCTTAAAGTGCGGAGTTACACGATGAGAATACTGCTGAAGTTTTAAGTCCAATATCTGGCTAGATAGATGCTTTTACTGGTCATTCTGGGTGTTCTGTTTTCGTCTCTTCTTTTAATGCACAACTTACCAAAAGTGTAACAAGAGCTCCTTTCTGGTCAGGAAGAAATTTTAAAATCTTTCTGCATTGGTATCTTGCCAAAGGATATTCTTTCATTTTAAAGTCTACACTTCCCAAACTCTGTGAGAGAAAAGTTGGTCTAATTTCCAGAGAAGATGAATGTGAACCATCTTCAGAAAGTGAAAGAATTATCATCTTCTCCCTCAGACAAAATTAGAGAAATTATTTGATTCTCTGTAAACTAAATCTAGATCTTTTAACCTACATATGACATCTTCACTTTCTCTTAATATTCTCATGTACAGCCTTAAAAATGCTGCAAGTTTTTTGATGTTTCTGAACTTTCAGTATTATGAGTATGTAGTATTTTGTACCTATTCTTGCTAAGCAAGTAATTGTATAATCTCTAAATTCATTGTATAAAAAAAAAGCATAGAGAAGCAACATTAGCTAAATGAACCAGTTGAGGTAAAAGAAGTTTTCTGTCCTATAAAAATATGCAGAACAGAAAAAATGGAGATAACAGATAAAGCAAAATCATAGAATGTCTTGGGTTGGAAGGAATTTTAAAGGTTGCCATACCATCAAGTTGCTCAGAGCCCATCCATCCTGGCCTTGAACACCTCCAGGGATGGGACAGCCACAGCTTCTCTGAGCAACCTATTCTAGAGCTTATGAGTAAATAATTTCTTCATTATATTAAAGTTAAATCATCTCTCTTTTATTTTAAAAATGTTCTGCCTTGTCTATCACCTTCAGACCATGTAAAAAGTACCAAAAGGCTGCATCAATGTTCCCAGGACCTTATATTTCCTGATTAAACAGGCCCCGCTCCCTCAGCCTTTCTTCACAGGACAGGTGTTTCATCCCTCTGATCATCCTTGTGACCCTCCTCTGGAACCTCTCCAACAGTTCTTTCTACATTATTCTTGTGCTGAGGATCCCAGGCTGGGACACTACTCCAGATGGAGTTTCACAAGAGCAGAGGAGGACAATCAATTCCTTATCCTTGCTGGCCACCTCTCTTTTAGTGCAGCCCTGAATGCTGTTGGCTTTCTAGGCTGCAAAAACACACCGCTGGCTCTTGTAAAACTTTTCATCCATGAGAACCCTTAAGTCCTTCTCTGCAGGGCTGCTCTGAATGAGTTTTTCTGTCAGTTTGTACAGATAACTGGGATTGCCCCAACCCAAAAGCAACACCTTCTAATTGGGCTTTTTCAACCTAAGTAGTTTCACATGAGCTCATTTTCAAGCTTGCCATTTGGATGGCATCTCTCCCTTCTGTGTATCAGCTGCACCACATAGCTTATTGTCTTTGCATGTTTTCTGAAGGTGCACTCAGTCCCACTGCCTAAGTAATCCATAAAGATGTTGAAGGATCCCTAGAGAACACCACTTGTCAAAGACCTTCTCCTGGACATAGGGCCATTGACCATGACCCTCTGTCTGTGACCATCCAGCCTATTATTTACTTACTGAATAGTCCACTTTACATATCCATCTTTCCAAATTAGAGATTAGAATGTGATGTTGGACCATATAAAAAGCACTGCAAAAGTTCAGGGAGAGAACATCCATTGCTCTTCTTTTGTCCACTGATGCTGTTGCTCCAGATTGGTCAGGCACCATCTACCCTTGGTGAAGCCGTGCTGGCTGTTTTCAGATAATCTCCTTGTCTTGCATGTACCTCTAGAAGGATCTGCTCCATGATCTTCCGTAGCACAGAGATGATACTCTTGGTCTGTAATTCCCAGGTCTTCCTTCCTATCTTTCTGAAAAATGGGAGTGATATTTCCCTTTTTCCAGTCACTATCACTTCACCTGATAGTCACGACCTTTTGAATAAGACAAAGAAAGGCTTGCCAACTACATCAACCAATTCCTTCAGAACAACAGGATCCATGTTGTCTGGCCCTATAGAAGAAGACCTGCCCTAAATCATTAAATCTGGAGGAGTAAAATAATTTTGAGATTTTTCTACAGGTTGAATAAGGCTTCATATGGACTCCAGATGTAGATGATGATATATCAAAAGACAAACTTGGATTTTTGTATGCAAAGAATTGATGAGTATTTCCACAAGGGAAACTCTCAACAGTAAAGGATTTCACATGGTTTCTCCCTCTGACCACTGATTCTTAATGTAGAACTACATAATCAGGTCAATTAGAGTCTCCAGCAGAAAAAAAGTAAAGTAGCCAAAGCAGACAACTTCCTCTGGCTAAAAATATGACTAATTTTTTTTGGTCCAAAATTGTCCCTCTCCTACAGTAGTTTAATCTCAGCCTTTCTTGACATCCATAACAGTTACACTTTTCCTTATTTCCTCATCTTTCAAGTCCTGCAAACAGAGATTCGGGGGCAATTTGTAGGGGAAGAAAGGATATGTGCTGCCACAGGGCTGCTTCCCACTGCCTCTCTCAAAAGAATTCACAGTACTGTGAAGTGCTAACAGGGTCACCATAGCCATATTAGACCTAATCCACCAGTTTACATACTAAACCCTGCCTCCTTGCTTTCAGCTAGAAATTACAAAACTAATGCAACATTTGCTGCCATCACATTGTTCACACTACTGTTTTATGTTATGCCTCATCATTCACCCTGTTGATTCAGATTATAAACTCTCTAGAGCTGGGACCATCTGGTATTCACTGTTTGTAAAGAGCCTAGCACAATAAGGTCTTGTTCTGGGTTGACATGCACAATCATAACAAAAACAACCAATAATAAATAAATAGTTTTATCTCACCAGTTGATACTTTTTTATTTTTATTACTCCCAGTGGATGTTTTGCTGTAGTGCAAATATTCAAAACAAAAGGGAAAATGAAATTACAATGACATCTTTAGATACAAGGAACAAATTCAGATTACTTTTAAATCTAGACACCTTTTATCCTATCCACTCTGCTATTTCATTGTGTTTATGCAGTAAATAAAAGGTTTCATATATAGCCTGGTCCAAATCAGAGATTAGTTTATTTCAGCTTTTTTGCTTGCAGATCTGGAGACCTACCCAGAAGAAAACACATAAAACAAACACCAAAAAATACAGTGAT